GGAATGCTGCTTATTATCATTCAGCAATATTATAAAGATTGCACATCAGTGGTAGAACCTTTACATGAGAATAAACACAATAACACAAAAAATAACAAAAACTGACAGTTCCAACACCAAATACAGATTCAAAAATTGTTTAAACAACAAAAAAATAATACAGAACAAGAAAAAACTACAGAGACATGAGCCAGAATGGACACATAGACAATAATAATCTATATTTATATAATGAACATACCAAGGAAATAATATAGTAACAATACAGTACATATACAGAAAACAACAAGTTCAATGATTTCTTTTGACAAATGTATATGAAGTGTTAGTCCACTGGTTAAATCTTTAGAAAAAACACAATTTTGTATAAAAATAAACAGACATATGTAGTGGGTAAATTACAATACCACATATAGAAAGAGATGTATAAAGTAGCATACAAGTGGAAATACTCAGACACAGCACACACACAAACAAAAATAGAATACAAATATATGAAAACTTAGATAAAAAACAAATATTTTCTGCACACCTACAAAGCACACATATATAACCAATAGAGACACCAAACACAACAAAATCTTACCGACCTTGCAGGGAGTAACACAAACCCCTAACCACCACCCCCCCCCATCCTGCTGCTGATACATTCTCAGCTGGTTACCTACAAGATGGTAAACAGGACTTCCCCTTGTCCATAGGCTGGGTAGAGTCGGCCTGCATCGCTCCAGGCTCTGACACTCCCTCCACACACTGAAACAGTCCGAGTACACGTTCTTATCTCACCTCACGACCACACCTGTGCTGTTCAAGAAACAGGCTAAACCATGGCTGTCCAAACAACTCTTTCACTGAGGGCCACTACAAGAAAAACACATGAAGGGGCTGGCCGCGCTCCCCAGAAAGTGAAGTATATTGCCTCATACGTAAAGTTATAAAGTAGCAAAATCGATGAAATGTAGCTAAATGATGCTTGATAGTTGAATAAGGCCTAAGAAAACAAACGACGCTCCATCCCAGCTCTCCAGAGGGTTTTCATTTATTTTGTTACTAACAGTGTTGTAGCTCCTCCCCTTAAAACAGACGCCTCAAGATTGATTATAATAAGGGAAATACGAAGGGAATATGTTCAAGCTGGTTATGGAAATAAGTTATTGGGCCTTTTTTATTAACTCATATTTGTTAGAAAATGGTTTCAACTTTGATTGAACTGGAATTAAAAAAGTGGGTTTTGCCACATGAATACTAACTGTGTTATATAATGTTACATACAAATACTTTAAGAATTACAATATAAGAAGTTTCATGTGTTGGGCCATATTCCATTAGACTGTTTAGAATTGGCTGGAAGTTTGGACAACCCGGTTCTAAATACTATAGCCTTGACCAGTCTGTATGCTTTCCTCAACGTTACTGAGCATCCCATCATACATGCTTGCCGATGTTTCCACATCTCTTGCTGTTCTTATCAGTAGAGTATTATTATGAATTGTAAGGTGTCCTTGTGTATCCTGTGAAACTGTAGTCCACTGAGACAAATGTAACATTTGTGATATTGGGCTATATAAATAAACATTGATTGATTGATATCCTGGAAAGCGCCTTCAATACAATGCATTATTATTATTATTATTAGGGTGCTGGGCCACTTTGAGAAGCCTGTGTTCCTGGAGCTGTGCCGGCACATGGTGGTGATCCAGCTGCACCAGGGGGAGGCACTCTTCAGACCAGGGGACACTGATGACAGTATTTACGTGGTTCAAGATGGCCGCTTGGACATGTACATCCATGAGAGCGTGAGACCTCAGGGCTGACCACAAACTACTGCCTGCAACAACCACATGGATATTTGACACTCAGCTATGTGATCAGGGAGATGTAAAGGTGTTTTCTTCCTGCAGGATGGGACTGACGCTGTGGTGAAGGAAGTGTTACCAGGAGACAGCGTTCACAGTCTGCTGAGTATCCTGGACATCATCACTGTACGTTTGCATTTTAGAACAGAGGAAAAGTACACAGATTTTTCACTTCAGTAAAATACTGTGGTACAAAGTCTGCATTTAAAATATTTCTTCAAGAAAAGTATGAACGTTTCATGTATTTGTATTTAAAGAACATTTGAAAAGTTCTCTTTCTGCACCAAGGCACATTTCATAGTAATATGTATTATATTATAAAAGGATTTAATGAAATAGTTATTCTATTCATCACTTAAAGTGTTTTGTATGTGCTCTTCTACATTAGCTCTTCTTTATTGGCGTGTTTATTCCCATTTCTTCATGCATGTTAGTGGTTTTGTTAGGGTTGTTACTACTCACAACTCCTTCTTTCTCCACAAACTGTACTGTGTATTCAGGGCTATCCAGCGCCTTATAAAACTGTGTCTGCCAGAGCTGCAGTCACCTCCACCATCCTGCGTCTGCCGGCTGCAGCCTTCCAGTCAGTGTTTGAGAAATATCCAGAAACTCTGGTCCGTGTCATCCAGGTAAAGCGTCCACTGCCGCAGTGCAAGTACAGTCTGAGCCAGAGAAAAGCATAAGCACAGGCAGCTTCACAAACTGCATCCATTGCCTGATGTGGCACTAACAGAGCAGTGTGTCTCCTCCTCTGCAGATAATCATGGTGCGTCTCCAGAGAGTCACCTTCCTCGCCTTACACAACTACCTGGGCCTGACCACTGAGCTCTTCAACCCGGTACTGTTTGATTTTGTTGGTCTGCTTCATTCTGTTTACTGATAAGCATCACCTTTTCAAATTAGATACAACGATATACAGAGAATGACCAAATACTGCCCAGGTACACCAAATATCACCCAATTAATGTGCAGCTCTCAGAGGGCCACCAGCTGCAATTAAAGAAGCAGTGGATTAAATAAATGCATTACATGTGTAGAACACTAAGGCATTGTATATTTCCCCTCTTTGGGATGAATAAAGGTATTCTGGTCCTGATAACAAGTGTAGAGTTAACCAACAGTTATGTAATGTATCCATGTCTTCAAAATGAAAAGGCTGATTTAAAACTGAAGCTCCGTCATAAGGGCCTGCTGTGATAATTAAGCTAAGCTTGTTAATAAAACATATTTGGGTAGGATGGTGTAGTGACCACGATATCCATTTGTTTTTTGTCCTTTGTTAGTGATTCACTCGTGGGGCTGACCGACGAATAGACGCTTGTAGTTTGAGAGAAAAAAATATAGATGTCCAGATGCGATTGAAAAGTAAGATAGTTAATTCCAAAAAAGGCAAAAATAAATAAACGTTTTTAAACAAACTATATTTCATATAAACTGATATTTCAATGTTAAAGCACAATAAAGAACCAAGCTGTGACGCTCCCAACCAGCAAGGTCTAAAAACTGTTTGCTTCAGTCAGCCGCACCAGTATGCTGCAGCACTTCTCCTTTTATGCTGCAGCATCTCGACCTGCAGAGTATAAATAATATACACCAGAGAAACTCAGGTTATGTACTCTAAAAAGATAATATACTATAATCTAAGTAAATGGCTCCTACATAACCGGCCTCTAAATGTATTTTGGAGTACCACAAAAACAATTATCAAATACATTTGGCTCCTTTTTTTTAAATGCATATATGCATTTAAAAAAAGGAGCCTACAGTCAGGATTTCTATTCATTTAATAAATCCAGTCATCTATCAATATGAGTTGTGTGGTGTTACTCATCCTGTCTACATGATATCATTGTGCCATCAGCAGAAGGAAGACTCTTTGCTGCCGTCACTCTTCACATTCCAACAGCAGAAAGATCTTGGTAATTGGCCTCTCCAGCATACTGGTCTGTGTTTTAACTTTGACAGTTCGAACCAGTCCTTTAGTGTCTGCCATAGCTTCTAGCACTCTTCCCAGGATCCAAGAGCTACGGGGAGCAGTAGGGTCAACTACCATTACTACATCTCCAGGTTTAAAGCTTCTCTTTTCCTTGCACCATTTCTGTCTTTCTTGCATTAGGATAAGTATTCCCGGCACCAGCATTTCCAAAATAGGACTGCCATGTATTGCACCTGTTTCCATCGGCGTCTTACGTACAGGTCCCTCTTGTCAAAAACTCCAGGGGGCAGAATTGGCTTGGTTTTTAAAAGCAAGATGTGATTTGGGGTTAGAGGCTCCAGGTCTTGAGGGTCATTTGAGACTGTTGTGATTGGTCGACAGTTCAAAATGGCCTCTACTTCATAAAAGGGGTTTGTAGCCCTTCTTCATCCAAAGTCTGCTGCTTCAAAACAGAATAGAGAACCTGCCTCACAGACTTTATCAGACGCTCCCAAACTCCTCCATGGTGGGATGCTCCTGGGGGGTTGAAACTCCACTTTATGCCCTTTCGCAGCAGAGTTTCCTGAATTCTGTGCTGGTTCAGAATGAAGAGGGCTTCCTTTAACTCTCTCTGAGCTCCAACAAAATTGGTCCCATTGTCAGATCTTTATGTTTTCACTTGACCTCTGCGTTGATACATGATACATTATCCAATACCTCTTCCTAACTTCAGAGAGGATGTGGTTTCTTCCTCCATGTCCAGTTCTTTCATGCATGTGCCTTAATATGAGAGTTGACACATGACACTTTTTTGGCAGTATANGAGAGAGAGAGATGGATTGAGAGAGATATATACAGGACTGTCTCAGAAAATTAGAATATTGTGATAAAGTTCTTTATTTTCTGTAATGCAATTAAAAAAACAAATTTTTTTAATTGCATTACAGAAAATAAAGAACTTTATCACAATATTCTAATTTTCTGAGACAGTCCTGTATATATCTCTCTCAATCCATCTCTCTCTCTCTCTCTCTCTCTATCTATCTACAGTTGCAAGAAAAATCTGAACCCTTTGGAATTACCTGGATTTCTGCATAAGTTGGTCATAAAATGTGTTCTGATCTGCACGTTTGAAGTTTGCAAAAGAGCACCTGGATGTTCCACAGCACTACTGGCGGTTCTAGTGTTAATAAGATAGAATGAAGAGAGGAGTAATTAAATAAGGTTAACTTTAAAGTATGGGTTTTTTCCAGGCTTTTTCCAGTTAGTTAGGCTTACATTAGATGAGCCACAGAAAAATCCAAGTGAGTGGATAGAACTTTGACTGGGCCTGGTACCTCTGGGACACGTTTGTTTCGTGTTTGTGTGTGTGTGTGTGTGTGTGTGTGTGTGTGTGTGTGTGTGTGTGTGTGTGTGTGTGTGTGTGTGTGTGTGTGTGTGTGTGTGTGTGTGTGTGTGTGTGTGTGTGTGTGTGTGTGTGTGTGTGTGTGTGTGTTGTCTCTTTGCCTGAAGATAAGTGCCATCTGCTGTGTGTTGGTGGAGCCAGGCCTGCTGACTGGAGTTTCTGCAGCCCAGGCCAGTCTGCACACTTTGTAATTGCCTTGTTTTGGCCAAAGAGCCTCGCTGATCCCCTTCAGCAGAACATTTTACATTTGGAACACTCCTCATGTACTCTTGTACAGACGAGCTGCACAGCGGCCGAGGCGTGGCTTCATGAATGCAATTATCACATCAAAATATCAGTGGTGAAATGATCCGGTTCTGTCTGTGTGTCAGCCTCCCCCTCTTGCAGGGGGGAAGAGGACGAGGTAGACACTGGGGATTGAGAAGCAACTGAGAGAACTTGTCAGAGGAAATAAGAGGGGGTTTCTGGACCACAGACTCACTGGCTGGAAAACAGGAATCAGAGGAGAGATCCCAAGACTTGTGTCCAGCCGTGTGAAAAATAAAAGAATCTCTCTCCTTCATCGTTTTTGTGGGAGACATTTTTTTCCTAGCTCCAGTTATAGAATCATTTTAATACCAGCCCCAGCCTGGCCTTATCAATGTGGAGCTCAATATATGCAACGATTGAAGTGAACCCCTCCATCCTGTCTGTTTCAGGGCAAGTCTTCCTGTACCTAAAGCTTATGGCTCTCTATAGAAGACCGCAGCCGGCCATTGGAGCCCCACACAGGTCCCCCCCTCATCTATCAGTGACACTACTGGCTGACAGAGCACTTATTCATGCTCACTCATGAATATTCAATTTACTCTTTCTTCAAGGGTACAAAAGACATATCTATACACAGGAGAGAGGAGCGGTGTCTCTCTCTCTGTTCCCTCCTTTCTTGTATCCTCTCTTTTTTTCCTCCTCTTCCTCTGCCTACCTCTTTATGCGTTTACAACCTAAACATCGGCAGCAATATGCCTAATATCATGCACATGTTTCATTAGAGGTGTCGACCAGGAGACTATTTTCCCTGACACTTTGAGCAAGCCAACACAATCCTGCACCGTTTGCGCGAAAGAAAAATCCCATTTGTCCTTTGTCAGCACAAACACTTTAATTTGAGGCTTTCACTCCTGAGTAAGCAGCCGATCTCCTCAGAAGCCCGGAGAGACACAGGAAACGCATGTGGGTCCTTCAATCTCTCCCTCATCAGCAGAGGCACTTCATTCTGCATGGCCTCCATGTTTTTATCAGTCGGCGGGGGCATGCATAAGTCAAAAGGAGAGGCAAAGAGTAGGTGTGTCAGCATATAAACAGCCGACGTGACCAGCGGTCACACCGTTGTTTTGAAGTCTCAAAATGCTACACGGAACGATTACTAGATGTTATATTACAGTCTGAACACAATCACAAACATAAGCACAGTGTACATGCCATGTAAAAGACAACCTGTACATGGAACAAATAAATGTCCTTAGCTTGCAAACCAGCCTTACTAACCTCTGTTCTCAGTGTCCCTCACTCAAACCAAAAGGGATTAGACTGGTTGGTCTCAACATTTAAGCCAAAAGGTCAACAATGTTCCTTGTGTATTTCTGTATAATGTTTATAGACATTGGATAAGAAAAGGGGTGTCAGCGTTTCTCCAAATCCACAATATAATTTGACTCTTCATTAAAGTCTTGATTACAGATCACTGACTACTGTCAGTTACATTTTCCAAAAAGATAAAACCACAAATAAATGACATAATGAAAAGGAGCCATTAAATGTCCGAGGTGTACTTCACCATAACAGCTCTATTATATCATTATTTTATACATAGAACTGTTGACTCATTTGAATTGCTAGCCAGGTCAGATAAACGCTAATAAACTAGCATAATCTAACTTTAACTTTGACGATAGCAATGTGATAATCGGCCTGACATTATGTTTCAAGTTTAATAAGCTAATTATCTGTAACTCTAACCCTGTAAAGCCTTCAAGATAATTGGTTCATTTCAAGCTATATTGTTTTGTTATGATACTTGTTTTCTCTATGGAAATGTTGTGTTGCTGTCAGGTTAGACTTATTTTCTGATATTGTGTTTCTACTTCTCGAACATGACTGATAGCAATGAAAGAACGAGTTGTGTACATGATTTAACCTGGAGGAGAGATACAGTAAGATAATACATGACAGAGAGTTCAATGTATTATTACTATTAGTCTTACATTACCTTCATCATTAAACAAATATGTGTTTCTATTGAGTCATAAATCAATACCTATCATTTGCTCATTTACAGGAAAACAAAGTGTGGAACAGCTCAGCGTCTCTGCTGTGCAACATCTGATGCCCAATACACAGAAAGTAAATGAATAAATCAGTTTGAATACTACATGTTTTCTTAATATAGGCTCACATAAAATAAAGACGCAAACTACTGGAAGCTTCCATAACATTTCTGTGGTCATATATAGTGAGATGGCAATAAATGTCATGAGGTCTTAACTACAGCATGAGGGAAGCATGTAGTCGCCCTAGAACATCCTGGGAACGAGGGACGTGTGGAGGAGCGACTTGAAGTGACCCAATGTGTTTAGCCCAGGGGCGCCAAACTACGGCCCGGGGGCCTACTGCAGCCG